TGAAGCATCACCCCTCTCCTCGTCTCTCCCTGTGTCCACTGCTGTCACTGCAATTATAACAACAGTCTCCAGGTGGCTACTGTGCCCAGGTCCCCTACTTGCATTCTCTTGCTTAGCCCACACAACGGTGTCAGGAGCCAAGTAGGAACGACCCACTTTGCAAGTCAAGAAACCGAGGCTGACCTTGCCCAAGACCACAGAGAAGAGAGAGACAGAGCCAGGATCCAATCCAGATTGGGGCCTGCCAAGTCTGCCCAGATCCTCCATTGTCTCCTGCCACCCCCTCTGCCTGGGGACCACCAGCTGTGGGGACTGACGATCCCAGCTGCCTGTCCTTCCCGTTTCTAGAGGAACCTGAAGAAACTGTTTACCTCTCACAGAGCAAGGCTCAGAGACTGGGACGCCCTTGGCTTTCACAAATTGGCTCAGTTTGCCACACACTGTTACCATTTCAGGGGCAGCCAGTAAAAAGGAAGAATGTTCCAAGTTAACAGGGCTTCGAGCTCTTGGCCAGCACATTACCCACTACAGGCCTGAACCCCAGGGGCTCATAAGCCGTCCAAGTATTGGAGGAAGCACACCGTGGTGGGTGTGGGGGTGCCCAGGCGGCTGCAGGAAGGAACGCTAGCCACTCTCATTCCCAATCCACCCGGCAGCCCAGCCTGGGACCACAGGAACCCAAACACCAGACGTGGGCGTCTCAACATGATTTCCATGAAACTTAATAGACATGTTTCCATTCCTTCCCAGTGAGCACAGCCTGCAGCCCGCCTGGGCCTTTAACTGTTCCCAGGCAGGAGCCAGCGGGTGTGAGGCTGAAAAGGAAGAAGGCCAGACGAGCCACAGCCCCCTCCCCTGCAGCCCAAGGCCAGAGAAGGAGTTCACCAAGGGGACAGGCAGACCTGTCTGCTGTCCCGCGCTGCTGGCCCCTACACCACGCTCATGACCTTCCGGACTGACCCAGGGAAGCTTGTAGGTTCGGAGGGACTACTTGCTCGCAGCGGTTATACCTGGGCAGGGGAGTAGGGGCGTGTGTATACTTCTATTTCAATGTCTTTGCAATGAGCTACTATTATCATAATCGTAAGTGCCATTTTTATCAAGTAAAATACACACATATAAAAGGCACAGGATGATGCTTTTTTACCTACGTATGAACCCTGTAGCCACTTACCCAGATCAAGAGACAAAAGACCTCCACCACTCCAGAAACAGGCCCCTTGCCAGCCAACTCTCCCACCCCTGACTATTGGAATTTTTTTTTAAAGAAAACAGTGTCATACAGTATAATCGACAGTAGGAGTAAAACCACGTAAGCCTAGAAAAAAGTCCAAGTAGACATTAAGTGTTAACTGCAGTTACCCCTGAGGACTGTGCGGGGCAGGGGCCTCGTAAGGCAGCCTTTTAATTTTCTTCATAGTTTGCTGGATTTTCCAAACATTTCGTAACCAGCTTGTATAGCTTTTATAATCAGGAGAGGAAAAAATAAAAGTGTGAGTGTATGTGTTTTTAAGGCTGGTTCCCTTTGTAAATGCTCTCACCAGATGTTGTTAGCTGGACCTTCTGAGATGTGGACTAAGCCTTTCTTTTCTTTTTCAAGACAGAGTTTTGCTCTTACTGCCCAGGCTGGAGTGCAATGGTGCAATCTCGACTCACTGCAACCTCCGCCTCCTGGGTTTAAGCGATTCTCCTGCCTCAGCCTCCCAGGTAGCTGGGATTATGGGCACCTGCCAACACGCCCAGCTAATTTTTTGTATTTTTAGTAGAGACAGGGTTTCATCATGTTGGCCAGGCTGGTCTCAAACTCCTGACCTCAGGTGATCCACCCACCTTGGCCTCCCAAAGTGCTGGGATTACAGGCATGAGCCACCACGCCCAGCTGGACTGAGCTTTTCTTAAAGGTACAGATTTATCCATTTACTGAAACGGGCAAAGATTTTAGTATCACTTAGCATCTGCCACCTCCTTACTTGGGAAGAGAGGACTGAAAAAAGCTAAAATGGACAGAGTCCTAGGACTACCTTCAACCTCTGCCCTGTTCCTTGGGGGGGAAAAAAATGCCTAGGGAAGGTGAGATTCTGCCCCTGACTCGCTGGGTGACCCTTCCCCATCTACAAAAGGGAGGCACTGGGCATATCTATCTCCAAGGGCCCTTCCAGTAGGGGCATTCTAGAATTCAAAGTATAATCAGGGGCCAGGTGCAGTGGCTCTACAAAAAATAGAAAAACTTAGCCAGGCATGGTAGCTCATGGTAGTCCCAATTACTTGAGGCACTGAGACAGGAGAATCACTTGAGCCCAGGAGGTGGAGACTGTAGTAAACTATGACCACACCACTGCACTCCAGCCTGGGCAGAGCGAGTTCCCAACTCCAGAAAAAAAAAAAAAGTATATTCGAGTTCAGGAAGGTTTGGAGCTGGGATGTGGTTTCTAAATGGGATCAGTTAATCCTCAGTTGGTGAGAAGGTTTAAAAAGATCTGTCTTAGCTAGGCACGGTGGCTCACGCCTGTCATCCCAGCACTTTGGGAGGCTGAGGCAGGCAGATCACCTGAGGTCAGGAGTTCAAGACCAGCCTGGCCAACGTAGTGAAACCCCGTCTCTACTAAAAATACAAACACTAGCCGGGTGTGGTGGCAGGTGCCGATAATCACAGCTACTCAGAAGGCCGAGGCAGGAGAATTGCTTGAAACTGGGAGGCAGAAGCTGCAGTGAGCAGAGATCTGGGCCACTGCACTCTAGCCTGGGTGACAGAGTGAGATCCGTCACAAAAAGAAAAAAAAAAATCTGTCTCATTCATCTTCCTGCCTCAGGCCTAGGGAGAGTCAGTCTAAACCAACAGCCACAGGTATAAATAAATGCTTCCAGGGCCTGACAGGTAACATGAAGACAGACACTGGCTGAATGTGAGAAAGCCCTCACTTCCACCCTTTGGAGATAGTCAGCCTCAGCACCAGAGGAGCAATAGGGAATAGAGGGGCTTGGGGCACACACCCCTTCTTATCCGCATCAGCTGAGTGTTGCTTCAGCCCAGCACCACCTGATCTACTGATTTTTCAGTAAAACCTCCCAATTTTGAAAAAGTTGGCCAAGCCAAACACATTTGTGAGCCAGACACGGCCCAGCGGGTGTCAGGTTGTAGCTTCCAGTCTCAATGACCTGGGACACTCCTCCTGAACTTCTCCAGGCTGGGGATTCTAGAACCAGCATTCTGTGGCTCTGGCTGCCAGGAAGTTCTTGCTCACTTCCAACTAAAACTTCTGCGTAAAGTCCTTTTTATTTTTGTGTGGGTGGAGGTATGAGTGAGTATTGGCTCGTAGAAAAAAACTTTCAGAAACTGGAAAAACAGCCCTGATGCCGTGAACCGAGAAGCGAGTGGGTGTCAGAAGACCCACGTTCAAGTCCAGCTCTGTCTGTATCATTGGCGTGACCTCGACCCCCTTCCCCTCACTGAGCCTTAGTTTTGTATTTGTTCCTTTCTCTCCCTCTCCCCTTTCCCTCTGCCCTGGCCTCACCATCTCCCACCCAAATCACAGCATGATCACAATTGTAACCAGAGCTGCTTCCTGCTGTCTTGTGTGTTAGGCCCGCGCTAAGCATTTTCCATTAACTATTTTATCTCAATAATTCTATGGGCTGGGTATTTTTATTCCCATTTTACAAGTTAAGAAACTGAGCTCAAGGCTCTACGGCTAGTAAATGGTAGAGCTGGGGTATGACCCTGGGCACATAACCACCAGCTATCCTGTCTCTTTCCCCGGGCTCCCTGCTACCACGCCAGGCTCCTCTTAGCCATCACAGTGGGCTTCCTAACACAGAGATCCAACTGTGACCCTCCACTGCTCAACAACCTCAGGTGGCTCCCTATTGCCTTAGCAACTCACTGGCCTGGTGCTGTGGCCTGTCAGTCAGTTCCCAGCTTACCTTCCCTACTTCTTCTAAACATACGTTATGCTGTAGCCCAGGGCTTTCCAATCATCATGGGCCCGTTCATGAGGTTCTTTCTGCCATGTTCACATATTCTAATTTGTTAATGGCTTAATATTTTTATTAATTATTATTTACTTAACGTTTGACTTTTTGTCAATTCTTTTTCAACTTAAATTTAGTTTTTGACTGGGTGCGGTGACTCATGCCTATAATCCCAGCACTTTTGGGAGGCCAAGGCAGGAGACTCGCTTGAGCCCAGGAGTTCAAGACCAGCCTAGGCAACACAGGGAGGCCCTATCTCTACAAAAAATTAAAAGTTAGCTGAGCATGGTGGCACACACCTGTAGTCCTAGCTGCTTGGGAGGCTGAGGTGGGAGGATTACTTGAGCCTGGGAGATAGAGGCTGTGGTGAGCTATGATCATACCACTGTACTCCATCCAACCCAGGTGATGGAGCGAGACCCTGTCTCAAAAAAAATTATTTATATTTATTATTATGTGTTTGTGCTGTTTAAATTACTTCCTAATAGTCATTAAGATGAAAATCTGTAAACTAAAAAATGTTCGTCTAAGCGCCGTCTAAAATCTCCCCTCCTGGGACCTTTGGTGGATGCCCCACCTTGAAAAGTGCTGCCTGGACACACACCTCTGTGTCTCTGCTTCCACTGCCCGCTCCCTGGACTGGGCAACCTCCTGCCCACCCTTCAGAGCCCTTCCAGACTTGCCTCTCTTCTCTTTGCTTTTCAGGACACATGTGCTTGACGGATGGACCCCCACCACCCATCAGACACAGCCTAGAATTATCTGTGGATGAACCTGCCTTCTCCATGGACTGCCAGCCCCTAAGGCAGGAACCAGGCTGGAGTGCAATGGCACGATCTCAACTCACTGCAACCTCTGCCTCCCGGGTTCAAGCGATTCTCCCGCCTCAGCCTCCCGAGTAGCTGGGGTTACAGGTGCCTGCCACCATTCCCGGCTAATTTTTGTGTTTTCAGTAGAGACGGGGTTTCATCATGTTGGCCAGGCTGGTCTTGAACTCCTGACCTCAGGTGATACACCCACCTCGGCCTTCCAAAGTGCTGGGATTACAGGCGTGAGCCACCACGCCTGGCTTAGTTACCTCCTATTTACAACAATGGGTACTGATTTTTTCATGGTTGTGATATAAAATTTTCTATTTAGATATATTTTTCAGTGTACAAAGTAAGTTGATTTAAAGAAAAATATTGAGCAAATAATGAGTAGTAGATTTTATTATTTTCTTATATATTTTATCCAGTAAGTGGATGTGTAAAAGTTGTTTCAGTGATACTAAACTTTGGAAACCATGGGACAGGATCAACCCTAAGCCCCTGTGCCGTAAGATTATCTGCAATGGGGGTGCTCCCAAACACTAGACAGCTGTTAATCAAATGCCTCACAAAAATTACAGCTATGATGGGTTATCATAAAGGAAAGATACATGACATGCTAGAGTAAGAGTCAGAGAAATCAGGGAAGGCTTTCCTGAAAAGGTGACATTTGGGTGAAGATTTACTGGGTGAATAAGAATTCATTAGGTGAAGGTATTCCTCCAAGCAGGAACAGCATGTACAAAGGCCCTGGGGCAGCAGGGAGCATGAAACATAAGAGGCTCTGAAGCAAGGCTGGAGCCGCTGGAGCACAGAAGCGAGGCCAGGGAGGTAGGCTGGCAACAACCTTTATTATTTAAAGACAGGCAGGGGAAGGAAATCTGCACATTGTTCCCAATCTGGAAAGAGTTGCTCACCCTTTGACAGGGGACAGACCAGTGCCTGACCCTTGATCTGAGGATCTGGGGTTCAGTGAGGGATTTCTAATAACTAGGTTAGGTGTGAAGCCAGGAGAGGCTTGGCAAACACCAGGTGCAGGCTGTGGCCCTGGAGTGACCGTGACCGCTGACTGCAGGCTTAGAATTCAGACTGTCCTAACTTGCACTTTCTAGTTGGAGTGACCTTGGGCAGCTACTTAAGTTCCCAGAGCCTGAGGTCCCCATCTGTTGGAGATAGCAGCAGGTCTAATCTTAGAGTTGGTACGAGTCACCGACTCCTGGATGTAAATCACCTAGCATGGGGCCTTGCCAGTAGGGAGAGATGCATAATCATTGGCTTATGAGAGTATTTTCATACAGCTCCAAGAGCCATGTGTGTGTACACCTGTCCCGCCAGTGCATGGATGTAGGTGCCTGGTTTTGCAATATGTCTGTGGTGTGTATGCCAGTGTATGTCCATAGTTTAGCAGTATGGGGGAGCAGGTGCAGAAGGCATGGATGTATGAGAAGGCGTGAACATGTGTTCAGCCGTGTGAGTCAGTGGGAGCATTCAGGTGTGCTCTGTGCGTGCATGTGTACGTGTGCATGCATGTGTATGTGTATGTGCGTGCATGCGTTTGTGTGTGTGTGTGTGAGAGAGTATGAACACCTCTATATGGAATTCTTCTGCTTGTGGAGATGCATTTCTGTGAGTGAAAACCCATACAAATTCAACATGGTTGGTCACAGTCACGGGGTTAAAGCCTTGGCCTGTCTTCACAGCTTTTTTCAAATCCTTACAGCCCCTGTGAATCTGCCTGAGGCTTTTGTATCTGTCTGGAGCTGGGCTGAAATCCTCTGAAAACAGACTTTTCTTTCATTCCCTGTTGCCAGATACTGGCACAAACGCATCCGCGCCACCGCGCGCGCGCACACACATACACACACACACACACACACACACACACACACACAAATTCTTCCAGAATGTCTCAACGTTTTTCAAGGTTCCAGCCCCAAAAGTCCCTTCCTCTTCCCTCTCCCCAGCCAATTCCCATGGAAGCACCCTGTGTCTATCTGACTTTCCATAGCTGAGTCTAAAACAGCCAAAGCCTCCCAAGTTTTGGTAACGGTTCTCTCCTTTTCACTCTGGACCCTTAACCCTCCTCGCTCTGCACTGCCTGGCTGGCCTGGGAGGGGACTTTAACCCCCACCACCACTCTCCCCCATCCAAACTCCCTGCCGGGACAATGTGCATTATCACAGTCAGTTCCACAACTAATATGCAAAACCACCCCGTTTCAGTCCTCAGCCTGAGGGCTCAGATTCAGGCTCAGGTCTAGGGGTTGGGGAATATTAAAGTTTACAAGTCCAATCTTACTCCATCCATGCACACACATGGAGAAGCCGGGAGAGGACGCGGCCAGAGATGGGCTCCTGCCCCTGAACCCCTGCTGGGGTGGAAGCAGGTAAGCACAGCCCTGCCGAGGCACTGAGGGTCGTCTCAGCGTAAAAGGCGGGGGCCACCTGGGGTTGTTCTGTAGGGAATGGGGAGGGCTGTGCCCGCTGAAAGGGGGCAGAGCGAGGTGGTCCAGGCCTTGGCGCGTTACCATGGTGACGGGCTGCCAGCGGCGGGCGGCGCGGCTCCTCTCCTGGGCGCGGGGTCTGTGGGTCCGCAGGTCCGTCTGTCTGGGGCAGCCCTCGGTCCCGCCTAGCCCTGGAGCCAGGGGAGAGGGCAGGCCCGGGGCACCGACCCCGGCGTCATCTCGGAGGAGCGGCCGAGGGGGACAGGAAGAGAAACAGAGAGAGAGAGACAGAGAAGGACTGAGGCTGAAGACGGCGAGAGACACAAGAGAGCCATGGGCGGCGCGGGTCGGGCCACTGGACCGGGGGCGGCAGCAGAGGCGGGGCGGGGCGGGGCGCGGCGCGACAGCGGCCCCTTTGTGCCTGGCCCTCGCCCCCAGCCCGCGCGCCCCGCCCCCACCGCCCCCTTCCCTCCGCCCACCCCCTCGGCCGCCAGCTGGAACCCTAGGAACCCCAGTCCGCCCCGCCGAGTTTTCCTCCTGGCTCCTCGCCCTTCCCACGGCGCGCCCGGCCCAGGCGGCCCCATTGTACAGAGGGGCAGAGCGAGGCCTCGAGCCGCAGCAGCCGGGTTAAGCGCCCGCGGACCTCGCTGGCAGGCCCGAGTTCGAGTCTCCTCCTCATCCACTTCCCAGCAAGTCAGACTCTCTTAAGCTTCGATTTCTTCATCTGTAAAATGGGGTGGGATGATGATGATGATGACGACGATAGTGCCTGCTGCTTAGATTCGGTGATGAGGAGTAAGCATCTGTCCCAGCGCCCTTGAATTCTCCCACATTAGGCCCGATCATGACGGCCTAATTCAAGGCTTTGAGGTGATGACGGCTGCGTGCGAGTTCTGTTCTTGACTCTCAGATAATGACCTTGGTCAAGTCGGTATTTCCTCCTGAACCTCAGCTTTGGAGTGACACTAAGAAACTAGATGACTGCTAGGGTCTGTATGTGTGTGTCCCCTCCCAAATTCATAGGCCCAAACCTAATCCTCAGTATGATGGTGTTAGGAGGTGAGGCCTTTGGGAAGTGATTGGATCATGAGGCCAGAGCCCTCACGAATGGAATTAGTGCCTCTCTCTCTCTCTCTCTCTATATACACACACACACACACACACACACACATATATGTATGTATATATAGGGACTAATATATAGGCATATACACGCACACATATATATACACACATATATATACACACACATATACACACACCCACACATATATTTGAGATGGAGTCTCACTCTGTTGCCCACCCAGGCTGGAGTGCAGTGGCATGATCTCAGCTCACTGCAACCTCTACCTCCCAGGTTCAAGCAATTCTCCTGCCTCAGTCTCCTGAGCAGCTGGGATTTTAGGCACTCGCCACCACACCTGGCCAATTTTTGTATTTTTAGTAGAGACAGGATTTCGCCATGTTGGCCAGGCTGGTCTCAAACTCCTGACCTCAGGTGATCTGCCTGTCTCACCCTTCCAAAGTGCTGGGATTACAGGCGTGAGCCACCGTGCCCAGCCTAGTGCCCAAGAGGCCCCAGAGAGCTAGCAGCCTTGCTCCTTCCACTATGTGAGGACACAGCGAGAAGGGACTGTCTATGAGCCAGATAGGCCCAGAAACATAAGGTCCAGAAAGAAGGCTCTTAGCAAACACCCAACTTGCCTGTGCCTTGATCTAGGGCTTCCCAGCCTCCAGAACTGTGAGAAGAGAATTTTTGTTGTGTATAAGCCCTCAGTCTAAGGTATGTTGTTACAGCAGCCCAGACTAAAATAGTGACCAAAGTTATTCCTGGTGAGATGACTCGGGGATTTGTCCATTTATTTATCAAACTCTGTGCACTGAGTCAGCCTGTCTCCCCCACTAGACTATACATTACTTGAGAGTCCCTGCCCTCAAGTAATGTACAGTCTAGTGGGGGAGACAGGCAAGGAACAGATAAACAGGAAAAATAAAAAAATAATAACTGTGGTAACTGTAAGAAGGAAGCAAACAAATGTTGACATTGGGAACTGTAGAGGGATCAACTTATAGCTGGTGGTCTAGGAAGCCTAGGTCTGAAAGCCTAGATCTGAAAGGGGGAAAAGCCTAGATCTGAAAGGGGAGGAATTAGAAGAGTGGAGACGGGGAGATGCAGAGAAACCAAGTTCTAAGCAGAGAGAACAGCATGTGCAAAAGCTCTGAGGCAATATTCAGCTTAAAGGAACTGGGGAGTAAGTGAAGAACTGAAAAAGACGAGTGTAGTTGTAAGGGTTAGAGTTCCGACCCAAGCCTTATCCACAGCCAATCTCCCTCCCCACACAGGTTAATCAGTCTTTTAGCAGAGAAAACCTGACCTAGGAGCCATCCTATCCCAACTTCTGATAAGTTTCTTCACATCCCTGACCTTCACTTGCTCATCACTAATTTGGGACTACTAATCCCCCGCGATAGTTCCATTACGCCACACAGCCCAGCAATCAAGTAAACCCTCTCTACAGGAGACGGTCTAGATAGTTTTAGTATCATGACTCCAGATGTGAATTAAGGAGAGAATAGACTTGATGTCCACTACTGAATTCCACTGAGAGTTGGGAGATCACAGCTTGAAGGTTTTAGAGTCCCAGGTTGCCATGAGACAGAATTGACATGACAGCCAGCATTCTGGGGTTGCAGGCAACAGAAACGGGTTCTGAGTTAATTAAGCAGAAAAGAATGGATTGGCACGCAGAGAATCAATGAGGAGGCTGGGGTCTATCCTCTGGAAAGCACTGGAGTAAGTAGGATGCTCCAGGGGTCTCGTTATCAGGAAAGAGTTGGAAATGTTTGAACACATGGAATTACATTAAGACAAACAAACACACCAAAGTAGAACTTTATATGTGTCAGGTACTTTTCTAAGTATATAACAGTTATGAAGAAGATTCTATTGTTGTCCTCACTTTACAGATGAAAAACTGAGGCACCGAGAGGGTATGTAGCCTGCCCAATGTCAGACAGCTAGTAAACTGTGGATTTCTGAATTGGACACAGCTATCCAATTCCGTAAGTTATGTTATTAACCTCTTTGCTACGCTACCTGAATAAATCCCAACCATTCTCTCTGCCCTTGTGTTCCTCACTGATGGACTCAGAACCTTAAAAGAGCCAGGCATGGTGGCACGCTCCTGTAATCCGAGTTACTTAGGAGACCAAGGTGGGAGGATCACTTGAGCCCAGGAGTTCGAGGCTGCAATGAGCTATGATTCACCATTGCACTCCAACCTGGGAGACAGAGTGAGACCCCGTCTCTAAAAAACAAACAAATAAAATAAAGCCTTTATAGAGAAATTCTAACTAGGTCATGTGCCCAGGGCCTCACTAAGACTGCACCTGCACATATCAGGAAGAGCTGATCACCCAAAAGGAAATTAAATTGCATAAAAAGGAGAAGAAATGAATATGAAATTGTCCATAAACAAGTACAATTACAGACTGGGCACAGTGGCTCATGCCTGTAATCCCAGCACTTTGGGAGGCCGAGGCGGGCAGATTGCCTGAGCTCAGGAGTTTGAGACTAGCCTGGGCAACATGGCAAAACCTTGTCTCTACTAAAAATACAAAAAATTAACCAGGCATGGTGGCACACACTTGTAATCCCAGCTACTGGGAGGTTGAGGCAGGAGATTCACTTGAACTTGGGAGGTGGAGGTTGCAGTGAGCTGAGATTCACACCACTACACTCCAGCCTGGGTGACAGAGTGAGACTCTGTCTCAAAACAACAACAACAACAACAAAAAAGGTGCAATTACAGTCTACCACTTGGGCCTCTCAACATACTTTATATCCTTGTTCACAGGCATGTTCTTCCAAAACTTTTCTCTACTGACGCGGTATAGCAATTCCATATGCAACCAACAATGTGCGCACACACACACACCCCTATGGTTTGTAGTCATACTGTGTATTACCTCAGGGAGGTTCACTTTTCTGAGCTTCAGATTCATCTTTTGTAAAAGAGAGAGAATCATACTTCCTCATTGGACTGTGGTGGAGAATAAGTTAATGACTGTAAAGTGCTTTGCACTGTGTCTGGTACATAGAATTAACATGCATCTTATAAGATAGTGCTGTTATTCCAAAAAATAGGGAGGAGGGAATACTTCCGAACTCATTCTATGAGGCCAGTATTACCAAAACCAGACAAAGACACATCTAAAAAAGAAAACTACAGGCCAATATCTCTTATGAATATGGATGCAAAAATTCTCAACAAAATACTAGCAAATTGAAATCAGCAATACATTAAAAAGATCATTCATCATGACTAAGTGGGATTTATCTCTGTGATGCAAGGATGGTTCAACATATGCAAATCAATCCATTTTGTTGATGTAATACATCACATCAACAGAATGAAGGACAAAAACCATAGGGTCATTTCAATTGATACTGAAAAATGCATCTGATAAAAGTCAACTTCCGTTCATGATTAAAAACCCTCAAAAAACCAGGTATAGAAGGAAAATACCTCAACATAATAAAAGCCATATACGACAGACCCATAGCTAGTATCATACAGAATGGGGAAAAACTGAAAGCCTTTCCTCTAAGATCTGGAACACAACAAGGATGACCACTTTCGTCACTGTTTTTCAACATAGGACTGGAAGTCCTAGATAGAGCAATCAGGCAACAGGAAGAAATAAAGGGCATCCAAATTGGAAAGGTAGAAGTCAAAATATACTTGTTTGCAGATGACATAATCTTATATTTGAGAAAGCCTAAAGACTCCACCACAAAACTACTAGAACTGATAAACAAATTCAATAAGATTGCAGGATACAAAATCAACATATGAAAATCAGCAGCATTTCTATATGCCAACAGTGAACAATCTGAAAAAGAAATTTAAAAAGTAATCCCATTTAAAATAGCTAAAAAT